ATGATTTAATGAATTCATCAAATTTCGATAGAACTCGTCAGCTGAATACTCTACATGCAGTAAATATGCATATATACTTTTGAAATTACATTGGGAGATATAATAAACAAACTACATTGATATTCCTGAAACTACATTAAATTAGTCATGCAGAAGGACGGGTGCGAATGTTTTCCAGGTCATGTTCAAATAGATAAGGGGAGAGAGAGTATGAGAGATCAAAATTAAGATAAATGGCATTACGCTTCAATTGCATCACTTAGATAAACAATTAGTCACTAGGGAATATAAGGAGAATTGCAAACAGACTAATATCAATAGTAATAGTTATAATAAAAATAATAATAATAATAGTGTTGAAGTGAGTTAAGATAATCCTACTTGATAAATGATAGTTTTAAATGAATCAAGAATAATAATAATAATAATAATGGTAATAATAATAACAATAATAGTAAGAAGAAGAGTTAGAATAATAACAAGTAGAGAATAAAACGTATTACCATGGTAGATTAAGAGTTACGACCATCTCCTTTTGTATACAGAGACCTGGTTTATAAACTCGAATTGCACAAGCCTCTGCAATTGCAAGCATCTTCTTGTTTCTTTGTTTGCTGACAATGGTAAATGACTTGACTGCGTCGATATCGTGTCCGTAGTCCACTGGATATATATCATAAAGGTTATAATATAGGTTTTCTTGTATTTCCCAATGAATGAATGAAAAACAAAATGAATATTGCTTTTACTGACGTCTCACTATTTAATACTGCTAATGGCTTTATCAAAGTATTATTAAACCAGCATTTACAAAATCTCAGCTTACATATAACAACTTAATCATCGTTCATCAGTATGGCGTCATTTTTGCGTTGTCACAGTGGTCAGTTAGTAAAGATAACAAAATCAAGTGTAGATTGTTGGATTCGATAGATGTGTAAAATTATAAACACAGCGTGTGTTTACCTAATGAAATTGCTTATCACATTCTTGTTGATTTTGTCACTTCATGGGAAAGGGGGTGTTGCAACCAGGTCAAATCATCTTTTAGTCGATCATTCCTATTGTTTTGCTTGAGAGTTTCAGTAATTCATGAATAATTCCCATTCGAACATTAGTAGAGAGAAGACAAGTAGTTCAGCGAAGAGTCTCTTTTCGGCGAATTCATTTTCATAGCTGTACAATCGCAAATATATATGGTTATTTTGTGTGTGTGTATACATTAAATTTGTCAAACGAAAATACAATTAGTAAGTTCAAATGAATTGGATGTTGATAAGAGGATAGCAACAAAAGTGATGAGTTGTCATAAATGATTGTTAAATAAGAGGTACGTAATGGCATGAGTAGTTTGATGAATGAGTTGTGCTCAAAGGGTGTACATGGAAACAAAATAATACAGAATTACACAAGGGTTTTAAGTTAGAAAAATAAGCATACAAACAGAAGTAAGGTCAAGTCAAACAAACAAAGAAAAGTTAGGTCAAATCAACGGAGTTGTTACCATGCGAGTAGAAGTGGTTGGATAATTTTCTTTTGTATGCATAGTTCTGGTTCCACCAACTGGATGGCTAGGGCTTCTGCGATGCAAAGAAGACGGAATCGTACTGTCTTTGGAAGGTTGTTCTTCACTTTGTAGATTACTTTCAAGCAGGAGGCGTTCGTTGAGATGGAATGACCAGTGTTGACGAGATGTTCGATTATTGCACTCCTTATATGGCCATTATTTCCTTTCTGTAGCCACGCTGGATAGTGTTCTTTGACCCTTTTTGACAGTTTCAGTAATGTTTGACATTTCGTCTTCTTCTTTTTCTTTCTCATTCGTTATCAGAGAGTTTGTTCGTCTAAGAAGACTTGAAACAACACTGATACCTTTACTGAGATTTTGTATACTCTGGTTTAATAATAACACTTTGGTAAAGCTATTAGCAGCAGCGTTAAATAGCGAAACATCAGTAAAAACAGAACCATTTTGTTTTTCATTCATTCATTGGGAAATACAAGATAACCTTTATTATAATGAATATCATATACCCAATGTCCAAATTATTTCAAAGTGTTAAAAGTGAACTTGGTTTAGTCATATATAACTGATGGTGTGTTTTGTCTAACCTACTACATTAAGAAACTCAGACTAACTGGAGTCCCTCAACCTCTGCTTTCACAATTTGTCAACTCTCGTATCCTACCTATTCTACTTTACTGCTCCCCGTTAGTCTTTCCTGGGTTACTGAAAAGGGACTATACCATCCTGAGAAGGATGTTGAAGGTAGTTAGTAGGACTAGCGGTGCAAAACTCAGTCAGCTCGTCACTACACTAGTAGAAAGGCACCTGAATACATGTGAGAAATGGTCTAAAACCATACTCTCCGACCCCCAACACCCCATCTATTCCCAACTCTCTCCTTGCATCTCATCAGGTAGAACCAGAAATCAGTACAAAATAATATATGCTCGTACAACCAAGTATAGGAACTCAACGATACCATATTTGGCCCGTGTTCTAAGTGACAGAGACAATGTTAAGCGCGAAACCTATAACTTGCTTTGTTGTTAATAACATAATTTTGGCTCTTGTTATTTCCCCCTTATACTCTCTTATTTGTACTCTATAGTGAACAACCTTCTTATACATACTTAGCTACTTAATATTATTATCATTGACTTACTTTTTTGTACTTTATTCTACTCCTTCTTTGTATATTTACTGGGTCCAACTATATTATCACTACGATTATTACAAAACTGTCCTGTCATTAACCATCATGTAATATTAATTTTTGTGGTTGTTCTTTGTTCGGCACTATTTAACTGACAATCTTGTTTGTAAACGCCACTATCACCATCTTAAAAATTTTGTATTATGCATGATTCCTCACACTACCACTACAAACACCGCATTAGTGCTGATAATAAAAAAACACAACCTGAAATGTTTATTTTATGATTGTTCAGTGTTGTTCAATCAAATTAACTGATCATCTTGGCTATAAACATTCTTAGGAACATCTCAATAATTTTTTGTATGATTATAGCTGTCACTGTTCACCACGCATACACATATCGTAGCTTCCACTAACCAATACTGAAGTATTTTTTCATTATTTGTGTTGATCTTCCTTTCTACTTGGTATTTTATTTGCATTTTTTCTTTTGTTTTTTTGTTATTTCTGTTTCTTTTTTGGTTTTTTTACTGTGTTTTTTTATATTTACTTATTTTTTTGTAATACTCCTTTTAAATGTACGATGAAATTAGATGCAATATTGTAGATATTTGCTGAAAATTCCGCACTGTACCACAAGTACTATTTCTGGAATAAAGCGAAATTGTTATGTTCTGTTATGTTATCAGCTATAACTTATAATCAACTATGACGACTGAGGAAGCATTCATACGGTGGACTGACACAAAAACCCTTTAGGTCTGAATTTCGCGTAGGATTTATTTCGAATATCATACAAGCATTCAAAAGTCTACAAGCCTAAACAAACTGGTTGACAAAAGAATGAACGAAAACAAGAATTAAGGTGAACTAAGAGAAAAAGAGTCGCGATGAAGATACTCAGTGTCCAACAAAAACAAGTTCCAATCAACAATAATGCGGGAAACTTAAAGAAAGTCATCTCTCTCGCTCACCTGATGTGTAACTTAGAATATTGAGATGATATAGACCTTCTAGGCGAGGTCGCTGACAAAATACAGCAGAGTCTTCTGAACACCTTGAGCTGCAATCTACGAATGTTTGGCATGCGATTCGCGCCCCCAAATGTAAGATGATGTTACAGGACTGGAGTACACTGACTCCTAGTTTAGAAATAGGGTGAAGTGGTAGAGCACACTGACCGCTTCACTTATTTAGGAAGCACCATCAGCCAGTGCCAACGGGTTGATCTCTGACGAAATCTCAGTACGGATAAAGAAGGCTAGTTTTGCATATGCCAGTTTACGCCGCCTCTAGCGTAGACTGATATCCGACTGTCTGTCGACCAAAGGGCGTGTGTATGCTCATCAGTCCGCTCCGTCCTCCTTTATGTCTGTGAGACCTGGCCATTGAGAGTGACAGACATGAAATGTCTGGCTAGCTGTCTTTGATCATAGGTCTGCGTTCTATATCCTGTGTGAAGTGGAATAATAGGGTAAGCAATACTGCGGTTAGGCGTCGAGTGGTAGGTAAGGAGGGAAAATCAATCGACGAGGCTGTGAAGTTATACTGATGAGATGGTTAGGACGTGTATTACGTATGCACCCTAGCCATCGATCGCCTTCCTCGATAATGGGCAATGTTGTCTGACAAAGGGTCAGGCTGAAAGAGCTAGCGGCAGTCAACCAAAACATGGCAATAGTCTATGAAATCCACAACAGTTAGTTGAAGCAAGTCACGTAGGGGATTAGGCTCCTCAGGACGGTAAAAAAATGAAGGCTGGATACTATTGGTTATATGGCTCAAATTTTTCTCAGTGTTGGCTCGGATGCATCCATTCCTTGTGACTTATAATATCCATTAAAACTATAATGTTCTTCGTTATTACTATTCCTTTTGTCTCATATCCCTGCTGCTGTCTCTAATATGCATTTCTTCTACTTTCTTCCTCTTGCTTGTGTGCTACATGGAGGGAGTGTGGCTACTTGAACTGCTGCACATCAGTGCAATGTTCTATGTCGAAAAGAGATATGCAGACAGACAATATATCTGACCATTAATACTGCTTGTATGTATTTTGACCTCCTTCGTAAGTTATATGAAAGTGGAAATTCTGGACAGTGTTTATCAACTTACGTGTTTCTGTTAACAGAAATCATGAAGATCCTTACAAGTATAACAAAATTCTGTCAACTTTTTGATTGTAAGCAGCTGAAGAGAATTCAACAAAATAAATGTTGATGGTGTCATATGATTCTGCATAAACACTTTTGGTTTTTGTTTGATTCATATTCAGTTTATAATAAATAACGAATACCAATTGTTTGTTTTTATATGATTGTCTTTTGTTGTTTACAGGAGTATTTAGCTCAGTATTTAAATTTAATGCAATCTCATATTGGTTTGGGGATGAGAGCATCAGAAACAATTACAGCCTTATTGCATAACAATAGAAAATTACTTGAAAAACATGTTGGTGAACAAGAAGTTGCCACGTTTATTTCATTAGTTAGAGATAATTGTGAAGCACGGTAAGTATAGTTGATTTATATGTCATAAAATTGTGAGAGAAGAGGTGAAAAAAGCAGAGGAATGAAAGCTTGCCCCACAGCTAAATATGTTTCTCTTTTGATGATTCTGTATGGTTTATGTGTCATTAAGTCACAGATATTCAGCTTATCAGGGGCAATATATATATATATATATATAGTACCTAGGATTTGTTTTTCGGTTAAATTTGCACTTCCATTATGGGTAAATTTTGTTTCAATAAAGTCTTTCAGTGTTATACTGTGGTGGTTACTGATGACCAGGTTTCGAGCACAATTTATTGCCACTCATAATCATATCAAGGTACTCACACGACTTCCCAACTTCATTTGTATAGTTCCATTATTTTTCGCTTGATTTCCTTGATTGATTGGTAGTAGTATTTTCCATATTTCAGGTATGAGTGATGAATCATTCCTATTGCATGTGTTGTGGGTGTAGACCCAATGATGAACAAGGATTCAGTAATCAACCTCTCTCTCTCCACCTACATAGATTACTTCTTAGAATCTTAACCCTCTCCCACCCTATTGTGTGGTTGTGTGTTAATGCATGTAGTGCACTTGCTGAGCTTTTTTCTAAATTACTTATCTTTTCAGGGTCAACCATTGTTACCTTAGTTAAATTCTTATGTTCCGATAATCTGAATACCCGTGACCTACTAATTTGACCAATGTAGTTGACAACTCACAGTCATTGTAGCGTATTTTGTAAATTCTATTATTTTGTCTAATTGGGTCAATTGGGTCCTTTAACCTACAGAGCTTGTCCCTGCCTGAGTGAGTTTGTAGGTTTGAATGCCACCCTAATTCCTGCTTTATTGAGAATCCTACGTAGTGTCTCAGATGTCCCTTCCTTATATGGTATAACTGTAGATGACTTATATTCTCTCTTATTCATGTTATCATTACTAGTTTCACAATTATTTCTATTTTTCGTTTGGCTTTTTTCTATCTTCCTAATGAATTTTAGAGGACAGTTATTTAACACCAACGCCTGTTCTATCTGTTTTAGTTCATCATTTAGGTCTTTTCTTGTGCTACTTAATGCTACCCCGAGAAGATAAGTTATTTGGAAAAAGCTCAGAAATTGCACTACATGCATTAACACACAACGATACAATAGGATGGGAGAGGGTGAAAATTCTAAAAAGTAATCTAGGTAGGTGGAGAGAGAGGTTGATTACTGAATCCTGGTTCATCGAGTCTACACCCAGCACACATACCTGAAATATGGAAAATACTACTGCCAATCAAATCAAGTGGAAATCAAGTGAAAAACAATGGAACTATATAACTGAAGTTAGGAAGTCGTGTGAGTACTTTAGTATGATTATGAGTAAAAGTAAGTTGTGTTGGAAAAGTGGTCATCAGTAAACACTACTGTGGAACACTGTGAGACTTTATTAAAACAAAAATTTGCCCATAATGGAACTACACTCTACCACAGTGCACAAGTCTTATTCTTATATAAATTTGCACTTCTTGTTGATTTATTGTATGTTCAATCTCTGTTGATACGTTGGTCAAACAATAACCAAAAGCCGTTGCCCAAGAGGTAGCTCTTACGACCCTAGTAGCCTAGTGGCTTAGGCGTTTGAAACTGCATGGGAACACCATCACTTACTGGTAATGCGGCAACACCTATCTGACGAGTCCCAAATAGTACGAAAAATGCATATTTTGGATTCCACTGCTATTCATCAACAACCAAAAAATACCTGGGAATTGTTAAGTTTGTAAGCTGTTTCACACTACCAGAATTATTTTTTACCTTGAAAGGAGTGTGAAATGTCGCCTTTTATACCTAAACGGGAACAGATAGTAGTTAGAAGCCATCATTAAGTAAATCCTTGACCTAATTCTCACGAAAAAAGGAATAGAGATAACTCCTGCATAACCATTAAGACATTGTAGATGTGGTACGATTAAACTCTGTTTATACCAGATGGTGAGAAAAAGTAGTTCGGAATAAATGTCTTCAATTAGATGAACACTATGATCCTTAAATATTTGCACTTGTAGAAAGATTTCTGTTACTTGAAGACAACGAGCAAAGATCCACTATCACTGCTACGAACATATAGCAGTATGTGGTCATTTCAAGAAGACGATCAAACTTCCCACATCCCATTGAAATAACGGAAATATTTGTGTGTGTGGGGGGGGGGGTATTGTGCATATGTCATTTTCTATTTTGCGTATTGTAATTGTATAAGGAAGAATGAGGATTTCATGACTAAGGTTATGTGATGGAAAAAAAACTCCGTAACTATTTTAAAATTATACTTATACAAAAAGCTGAATGCAACAGAAGTAAGAACCTTAGATTTTCACTTTGTCCAATCATTTAAGCCAATATATACATCACTAAGAATATGATATTGTGGTGAGAGCTGGCTGTTAGTCAAATTGGTGGACAGTATTTTACGTCAATGTTTACATCCCCAATATCGGTCGTGAGAAAAATGAGAAGAAAGGCTTTGCGTAGGCGGATACAGTTAACATATGGATGATTTGACATTCAAGAAACAGTCACAAAGAGATGAAAGATTAACGTTCAGCGAGAAACAACCAATCAGAAGACTGTATTTTTTCTGCTAACAATAATCTATAATAATGTACATGAAAATCTATATATTTGTGTTGATTTCCATAATAAGGATCTGTTGCCTGGCCCTTGTCTTCTGTTGCTATAATATTAACAGAAGTTCTGGTAGAGTTTCCATTATCAAAATAATGACTGGAACTTTGATGAAAATAAATATATTTCCATGTGATTATTTGTTATACGTTAGTTGATCAAATTTAACAAAATAATATTATATTTTTTGTCGATTCAGTTTTTCCTGTTGATTGATTAGACCAGAATACTTTGTCTGTTTTGACACCTTTTTAACTAGCGCAGACTCTTTAAAGACGTCCGAACATTAGCAAGATATTAATTGGTGGATGGTGAATAGCTAACAAATCCAGGATGTATATTTCGTCCCATTCGTGACTCATCCTCTGAATGTTTGTTCATTCTCCTGTGAATGATGCTATTCTCACTTGGAGTCGAACCCAGTGCTCATCGTTTTTAACTTCCAAAGCATTATCCAGCAGGCCACTTGGGTCAATCTGATATTCATACCTCCCCTGTGGAATGTAGGGTGGCTTCAAGCTGGAGGCTTGAAGTTTCAGTAGCAGAGAGGTGATTATTTTTACGGGATAGAGTTGTTAGCCTCATGTCCAACCTTCCCTCTCTTTATCAGTCTTATTACTGGTTTATAGAGGTAAAGGAGTGTGTCAGGCGGGGTTTGGGGCCGCGGACCAGATGAGGCCTTGGTGGTTGAGCATTTTACCGCTGTGCCTTAGATGCGCAGTTAGATCATACACAACGAGGAAAGATTCTATGAATTTGTTTAAACAAGATGCTGTTGAACAGAAAACCAATAAGGCCAACTTTTTATTGGCTGATTTATGCAGTAATTACTCACAGTTTTGATAATGACCTGTTTAGAGTGTTGATTCGTTTACATTTTTTTGTTTTAGCTTCTTAAACTACTTATCAGCATTATGTACTTCTTCTGGTGTAGCAATTCCGATTACTCAAGAACTTATCTGTCATCAACTGTTATCTAAAGAGAATGAAGATCTGCTAGTAGACACGTGGTAAGTTATTTGCAATATGGGTGGTGAAGAGATTGTTGAACCAAGTTAAATTTATTATTTCACAAGTATTCATTCTGTCTGTCATTTCCGGAGAGTATGTGATAATAGAAAATTGACGTAACATACTGCTAAGCATAACCAGTAATGAGCTAATATTGGTTAGAGAACCATTGGAAAACCAGTTGGGAGTACTGAACAGCCGTTTCGTCTTAGTTGAGACTCTTCATCAGTACACACCCATCGGGTCGAGTAATCCAGGTTTTCCAATGATTTTCTAACCGATGTCAGGTCATGATGAAATTCTTTAACCAATCAATGGAATCCCTACAAACCAACACTTGAATACCATGAGATGCTCACTGCCGACTGGCCCTAATCAGGTAGGTAGTTACCTTGGGTTATAGTGAGATGTTGTGACCAGTAGGGTGCAGCAGGTCGAGTGTGAGACAAATACTTGTCGAAGACATTGGCTAGCGGTTGCGCTATATCATGAATTGGCAGAAGTTAGAATTCATAGGTTGGCCATTGGATCGGGTCCCAGTGGCTCGCCTTGTAATCAGAAGGTCCTGGGTTCGAACTCTAGTGATAGGTGCGTGCTGATGAAGAGTTCCAAACTAGGACGAAACAGCTGTCCAGTAATCGCAGCTGGTTTTCCAGTGGTTCTCTAACCGATGTCAAATCATGATGGAAACCTGTAACCAATCAATCAAATCCCTACAGACCAACACTTGAATAACCAGTTATGTTCGAACTAAATCACTGTCATTATTCCCTTGGGTTCCAAGGGGAACGTAGGGCTTCAGCAGAGCGTCTTCATTGCATCCGTTTTTCCATAGTCTCTTTAATTTGGCTTCACACTTAAACATAAGCACTTATTATTTTATTTCATACGTTCTCCTCCACGTCACCCTCAGATGCCCATTCAGGTCCCACTAGAAGGTGTGCCATCCACGTGATGTCAATCAACCGTCTTCTCAGAGCTAGGTTACATAAAAGGTAATATTCATGTGCCAGTCTATAAACCATACTCACTGTGTCAGTGCAAATGGATCCTATTCAGTTGCACAGATTAAAGTAGAAGGAGGTGTGGTTAGAAACGAAAGTTTATTAGCTGAAAGTTGAGTGCCCAACCCAATGAGCCACATTTTATTTCTTTGTTTCTCCTGCACTTAATATTGATATTACATGTATTATTGATTTACATTGGTGACTCATTGCTAGAAATTTTGCCAGCCATGTGTCTTGAGGTCTGTTTTCGATCCTCAGATGATATGCTTCTAAAACTCATATAGGCAGCAGTAAACTCGTATAAGTGAGAATGTCGGGCGTGAGACTAGGTCGCGTAATAAGACTTTAAAACGCTCGAAGTTCTATGCTCCATTAGAAACTCAAAGAATAAAAAACAGACTATTTATTATACTGACTATCCATAAGTTCCGCTTCATCTAATTAAAACTGTCTGTATTATTGATGAGGTTGTAAAGTTACACAGACTGAGACGGTTAGGACATGTGTTACGTATGCCTAGTCATCGCCTTCCTCGACAACAGGCAGTGTTAGCTGATATAGGGTCAACTGGAGAAGAGCTAGCGGCGGTCAAACCAAAATATGGCCTCATCAGTCAATGAAATCCACAACAGTTAGTTAAAGCCACGTAGGGAAGTGTAGACTGGCTTCCTGGTTGGGGTCCTCGAGACGCTAAAAACCAATGAAGGCTGGAAAAATTGGCGATATGGCTCAAAATCGCTCCCAATGACTGGTGCAGATACATCCACTCCTTGTGACTTATGACTTCCAATGAAACTATATTGTTCTTTGTTATTGCTATTCCTTTGTCTCACACCTCTGTTTACTGTCTCTATTATGCATTTCTTCTACTTTCTTCTCTTTCTTTGTGTGCTACATAGAAGGAGTATGGTGACTTTAACTGGTGCACATATGTGAAAAGTTCTGTATCGAAAACAGACAAGCAGACAGTTTTATTGAGTGTCGTGGATTTTTTTTCCTCCGCGTTCCCAGTGGAACATAGGGCCTCAAGCTAGTGGCTTGAATTTTCTGTAGCAGTGTTTAGTTTTATAGGATAGGGTTGCTAGCTCCATGCTCAACCTTTCCTCTTTACTAGCATTATTTCTAGCTTAGCGAGGTAAAGGAGTGAGTCGGCCAGGGATCGAACCCCGAACCATGTGCATGGTCGGCGAGCGTCCTAACCACTGTGCCACCGACGCACTGTCGTGGAGTACTTGCAGATAAATGGTTAGATAGGTGCAGGGATATACATGATTATTTCGGAAGAAAATCTGTTTAAATAAGAATATTACTGACACAGTTTGAGAATAAATCAAAAAAGTGAGTGATGTCATCAGCCAGTAGTTGTATATAGCTCAGAAACTTGACGAATGAATCACGGAAAGGACTTCAACAGACCACTGCAGGCATGAAAATGTGGGGAGTTTTTCCGATTGATGCTACATACTACTGATTTATTGATATGAGTAGCTAAACACGACTCACAGAAAACTAGTTGTAGTTGCTAGTCAGATGGAACTGATCCAAATATCGAACGTCTGTTTCGCTCATCTGGGACCCATCTCTTCAGTTCCAAGGATCATGTCACTTCAAAACACCTCAATTCCCGCTATCTACATGGGCGAATTGGTAATAGATTAAGTCAAATTCGAAATTCTCGATTAACACTGCTTGCTACAGATTTTTTGAGACCGGAATTATTCAAATCACAGTATATTTGATTTATTCGACATCACAAATGGCGATGAAGATAGGAAGCATAATTATATGATGCATTATACTACTGTATGACTTGAGTGAGTAGTCGAATACCACTTCCATCAGCTAGTAGTGTCACAAAAACTCGAACTTATTAGGCCTTTTAAAATCAATAAAAGTCATAGGTAGAAATAGTGCTATTTTCACTTATACATAAACTGAAACTAATTAATGTGTTTTGTATTATAATTGCCATCCATCCGTGTGATTTGGAGTGGATATAAAGCTCCAGTGGCACACTTTCACTGGCTTATCTTCTCTGTTATTTCGAGGTGGCTTCGTGATGGCTCCGAACCTGTCATTTACTTTCCTCATGATCTCCTCTCCATGCCACTCCCTGATGCACATCCAACTTATCAATTCCCATTCGGGTTCGCCTCAGCTTGCATGTGATGCCACTCAACGATTTGTTCAATGTGTCCTCAATCAATCTGAAATCCCTTCGGCATGATTGTAAGAACTCAACCATACTCTGCTTAGCTCATGTTCTATGCGATAAAGAAAGCATTAGGCGTGAAACTTATAACTTATAGCCTTATATAACTGGTTTCGTCTTTCCAACTCATATCATTTATAGGTACAACGTTTTCCTTCTTTCCCTTCTTTTTTTCTTTTGTTTTTGTTATGCGCTGTTCTGTTTCTCTTTCCCTACAAACTCTTTTGAAAACATTCCTCCTCGTTCTTTCACACTGTACATGTCGACCATTTTTGTTACCGCTTACGCCAGTGAATATGCTAGCATCTACTTTTCTAACACCTTCAAACACTCTATTCAATTTTGGCTTTGCTATCGACATGCTAATATGTTTTACTGCTGAAGGGTCCCAAACTAGGACGAAACAGCTGTCCAGTACTCCCAGGTTTCCCAGTGGTTCTCTAACTGATGTCAGCTCATGATTAAATCCTCCAACCAAACAAAACCTACAAAACCAATACTTGAAAATCAATCTGTGCTCACTAGTGACTGGCCCTATTCAGGCAGTTAACCTGGGGTTCTAGTGGGAAGCCGTGACCAGTAGGGTACAGCAGGCTGAAGATGAGGCAGTAACTCATCGAAGAAGACATTGCGAAGGGTCGCGCTATGTCGTGAATTGGCAGAGGTTAGAATTCAAGGACCATTGGATCGGTCCCAGTGGCTCACTGGTCTACGAGCTCGCCTTGTAACCAGAAGGTCCTGGGTTCGAATCCCGGTGGGTGCGTACTGCTGAAGAGTCCCAAACAAGGATGGAGGAAACAGTTGTCCAGTACTCCCAGTTGGTTTTCCAGTGGTTCTCTAACTGATGTCAGCTCATGATTAAATCCTCCATGCAATCAAACAAAATCCCTACAAAACCAATACTTGATAATATGTTGTTGTCATTACTAACTGAGATTGCCCTTAATCTATGTAGAATTTTATTTATTGATAATCTACTAACTGGATGCAATACTGTAGTAAAGTGCTGAGAATTCCATTCTGTATCACAAGTACTGTTTTCGAATAGAGCAAATTATTATTATTATTATTATTAAAGATAGGTTGTTGGTTGCCAGAGCACCTTGAGGCATATCTTTACGGGCTGGTCATCGACTACCAGTCACGAGGATGGTTGCCAGGAGACATAATTCTATCATTAGGGGAGAATTTAAATCAGTTCACTTGCGCTGAAGATGTTGTCCAGAAGGACGATAAAGTTCTGCTATAAAACCAACCAGCTCAGCGAACAAAACTAATTGTAAATCATCCAGCTGAGCTACAAATATTCTATATTATTTCATTTTGTCTTCAATATGGAGCAAAGGCTACTATTAATGAAAGTTTACAGTGACCTGTTGGAACTGCTTTTCGTGAGTTGCAAGTATCAGAGTTATATAGAATCACTGACCCCAACTTAACATTAGTGTCGGAAATCCAAATCTTTTCATTTTCCTGAGTGCAGTATAATGATTTTCAAGTAATGAAGGTCTGTCTTGCTTTCGAATCCTCGCCAACTTCGTCATCCTCATCCATATCGACTGCCTATTTAAGTGGAACAGATGACATTTTCTAGATTTATCCAGTTGATGGCGACTGGTGCTTGTTGTTATCGGCTTTCAGGTATCTTCATCATCTTTTTCATCTCTGTGTTCCCTTGAAGACCTTTCTTCCTTGCTTCTTCTGCCCAACTTGTTGGTTTTCACCTGTTCAGCACCACCACTGAAAAATGGTTTCCGGATTTTCAACTCCAATGTAAAGT